TCATTTTTTCTTAGCAAGAAAATGAGGGATGTTATTTCAGACCAAACCTTCTTAACACTAGTTATTAGATATATCAAATGTTTTTTTTTTTTTTATATTAGAATTAGTATCAAAACTACTCATTCAAAGATAATCACATCTTGATTTTATTGACGAGAATAAAGCTCAACATCAAAAAGACAATGTCTGTATTCGTTTTTGCTGACCATGTATCTTAAACTCCTTTATAAGTCTCGTACTCTTTAGGATTTGAAGTATTTCGGGGTACATATTGCAGATGTATAAACGCGTTATTAGATAATAAAATCAATATGGCATTTCTTTTATAACCAGTAGTGTTCAGATGAAAGTATTGTCCTAAAAGATTCAATCATATTTTTCCACTTATTGATAATAAGATTAGTGGACTGAGAACTCATTATATACAGCTCGGGTCCAACACAAAGTCATCTGTTGAAAAACTACAAACACGTATTAATATTTATATCTTTATTCTTATGATTATCCAAAATCTCCTTTCTCTCACTTGTTTAATTTTCAAAGCGTCTTATATTTGGAACAAAATCAATGCTCTATGAAGTTTTTTTTTTTCAAAGTGCGTTAAAAGTGTACTTGAACATTTTTGCAATAGATTACAAAACACACTTTTTAAAAAGTGGGTATAAAACAAAAATACTGAACATAGATTTAAATAATAGAGACCAGTAATTTGTTATGAATATTTCGAAAAAATTGTGAATTGATTTACCCTCATCAGGAAGGAGGAGAAGACGAATAGAAGGTCTTTTAGCCCAACTCAGTATCGATGGTAGCATTGTTAAAACATGCAGATGTATTTAAAAGGAGGCGTCTTCCATATATGTTGCAAAGAGTTAGTAATGTTCATTTGGTGAAACCGAAAGGCATACAGGTTTACTTTTCACACATCCATCTGTCTGTTTATTCGTTTATCCATTTGTCCGTTTATTCGTCTGTCTAGCTTTCCGTCCGTCAGTTAGATCATCTCTCAATCAGTCAGTCTGTCTCACAAAGATTTTTTTTTCAATTTTTTTTTTAAATAAAAGGGCTTCATATTTAGAGCTGATTTTTGTGCTTTGTTATACTTTCATAATTTTTAAGGAGTTTTAATTTTGTCAAATATTTAAAGGGAACTAGATAACAAGTGCTGGTAGGAGAGAAGGTGTTTCTTAGGCAATGCGCTAAGATATTTTGTAGAGATTTCACTTTACTCATATCTTAGTTCATTATGGTGAGTTCAATTCACTACAGAGCTGTAGTTATGGTTAGGGTTAGAGAAGTAAATATCTTTGTAATAATATGTATTAAATATTTTCAGCAATAATTTGATAAATGTATAACTGACTGAAACTTTCTTAAAATATCTGATTTAACTAATTAAATCGGCTTTTACGTGGTTGTTTAACCTGATGGAGAAAAAGAGATTTTTTTTATTAAGTCTTAATATATTTTAAATATTTATAATTTAATTTTGTTTATATTCTCGCCTCTCATTGGTTGATTTCCAAAAAGGAACGCAAAACATTTTGTATAATCCAGTTTGGTATGGGGACACGCCCCCTTGACGACCAGCTTAATCATCTTATCCATGCAATCCCCTCATTTCCAGTCCTCGGAATCCATGGTAAATTCAAGATTTAATAATTCTATCTTTAACTTCAAACACTTACTCGATCTTACCCGATGTAAACATACATCATGGCTGCTAGATCTATGTATCAGTTATTACCTCCCCTCGCTTCACATCACTTCCATTACTACGGTTGTATTATTGCGCGGTAGATTTGAACTCGTAAAAAGCAACAAAATTTTACATCCAAAGTTGTTTAATGTTTTTAAAATTAAATTATAAGGAATGACTGTAATTCTTGGCAATATCATCGAGTATAATCTGGTTTGGGTCAGTTTACGCTTTTTTATAATCCGCTTCGCGAATTATAAAGCGTAAACTGACCCAAACCAGATTATACTCGATAATTTGGCCAAGAATTACAGTCATTCCTTAAATATTTATATAAAATTCACGAACCCTGAGTAAAATAGATGCCAGAAAGTTTTATATTTTACGCGTTTTAAACTTATTAGCAAAGAAATCAAATAATGCCTTAATGACTTAGAGATAAAGCTGTAATCCAACATCATTTAGTAATCTGAGAAAGGTACTATCATTAATTTCAGTTAAGTGTGAAGTTTTGCATTATTTCACAACCTATGATGACAGCTGTGTTCAAGGTAAATAGTACACGCCTCCTAACGGCAAGATTTACGACTGTAAGTTTCTTCTTATCCATGATAGGTTGATCGTTCAACAGACTATTTCATGTCAATGATGATCATATGAGATGACAATCACACAGCGGAGGCTGAATTGCTTACGCTGGATGTATCTGTCGAAAAAGATCATGACGTAATGCGAAACTTCACACTTAACTGAAATTACTAATAACTAAAGATTTTATATTTTATAACTATATGCATATTAAATGTAACCTCTTGCGAGTAATAATGAATAGTTAACTATAGGTTTGCGAGAAATAATGAAGAGTGAACTATAGGTTTACAATATTTTACATATGAATAAAGGGGAAAAAATGAAAATATTGTATGAAAGGTTCAATCAAGGAATCAAAATATTTAATATGCATATACAGTGGAAAACATACGAAAAGATCAATGAGATGAGTAAAAGAGGTAAACAAAATGATTTAATGTTACAAAACATCCTAACATTGTAAATTGAATAATGATGTTTGATTTAACAGTAAAAGATCAACAACAATTCAGATATCCAAATTTTAAAAAAATGTAAACCTTAAAAAGTATATAAACAGGCAAAAAATAAACAAATTTTCATTGCTATTTAAAAGTAATAAAACAACCTTAAGCATGTAGTTAACAATTACCTTCTTTTTAAAAAAAAAAACTTTGTAAAAAGAATTACATGTATACGCATGTCGGTAGATGGAGAAAGTACGTTTCTCTTGAATAGGAACCGAAGTGTCACTTGAAGATCAGGAAGATTCTTTGTGAGAAGGTGCGAGATTGGAAATAATTTTCTTGATAACCTAAGAATTAAAGCAATATCAATATACCCGGGAAATGAAAATGAAATAAAGATTAGTTCCACTTCCAATTAATATATTTTGGACTTGACAAGTAATACTAAGGTGGGGTTTATATCAACTTGTAATACTGACATAAAATTTTAAAATGAAAAACAACAAAAATAAAACCGAGGTTATATTTGCGGTATTCCGTTTTGTTCTAAATTCGACACAGATATTTTAACATACAGTTTAAATAACAAAGAGTGGGGATGATTACTTGCATTTTGCAATCAATAAAATTGTGAATATAACATTTCGACTTCCTGTTTTCAAATTTTATGCCAATATGAGGATCACAGCATTCCTTTCTTCTAAATGCCGTACTATTGATTTTCAAAATACATGTTGTTGTTTTTTTTTTATTTTGAAAATGTACTGTAGATCACTAAATTTTCGCAAGATACTCATTGACTCTATCTTGATTAGTGAGACAAAATTTCCACGAATTCTGGTTATTACTCTATATAATCTTAAGGAATACTATTATGCGCGCGAATTTAATTTTCGCAAGCATACTGTCTCGCGTAATTACGCGAAAATAAAGTTCCCGCGAATAAAAAGTGATTTACAGTACCATTTCCTTTAATTAATAAAAAAAAATCCTTTAAAATGTTTCTAATGGACATGCGCATAAATGATTGTCAAATCCCTTACACGTACAGAATAAAGGGCATGCACAGAAAAATCCTTAAACTTGTCCTCCTCACATTTTTATATCCAAACGCCAATAATTATACCTTGATACCTGTCCATTTTACAATCAATACTTGATCAATCATTGAGAAAAAAAGTTTTATCTAAAAAATAAAATCATATGCAATCTCGGCAATGGTGGGATTAGTATGCTGCTGTAAAATGAAACATGGTAAATGTATATTTCCCAATAAACAAATTCTATATGCACAGATACAATTAATTATAAAAGAAAAAGTGGGGAAGAGGGTGGACGACTCCCAGCTTATTCACTAGCATGCTTTGTGTAAGCTCAATTTTAAAACCGAGATGGGCTACCGAATGGATAATCGAAAATCACCATAAATTTACCGCATCAGCATTTCGGAAACTCTACCTTTTTTATGATTCATTCTGATATCAATTTTAATCTATAATTATGTCGTTCCGAACGAAGACGGGGACGACATATTGCGACTGTACGCATGTTTTTGTTGTCCAGGCGGTTTCTCGGAGATGGCTGAGACAATCTTCCTGAAACTTTCCTTAAAGGAGGATCGCTGGTTGTAGTTGTGCCATGTGGTCATTCAGGTTCAAAATGGCTACCGTTGCCATGGAATTTTGTCCGCGAGTGTTCTCTCTGGTCCCTTGAATATTCTTCATGAAACTTTACTGATTTATTGATTACCGGATAGAATCTGTCACTGTGCGTGTTGCATCTAAAAATTGCAAATTGTCAATAGTTTGGAAACAGGGGAAAAGTGAAAATTCTTTAACTTTGATTTTTAAATCAAAGTACTGAAAATACTGATAGGAGTTAATGGTTTTTCTAAGCTTAGCTATTGGGTCCCAGTTTTATTGATGAGAAAAAATGAAAGTTTTGTCCAGTTCGGGGCGACATAAGCTATTGCTTGCAATAGCAGACTTTCTAGTTTGTTTTTATTTTTGGTCAACGTTTTTATACACTTCCTGAGCTTTTATTTCTATTTCACAAAGTTCCTCTTATCTTCAAGCAATAATTTAAAATCAGGTTATTTTACGGGAGGGGGGGTATCTAAAAATATTTAGATGTTATATACATAATAAACACGATTAAATACTTGAAATCACATAATTCACAGTAACGACAATCAGCTTTGCTTTGTAAATAAAAAGTTTAGATAGTAAAGCGGAAAAATTCCAAATGCTCTGGACAAAGATTTTTCATTTCGATATTGTGGAGATTTTCCCCGATTCTTGGTACTTTTTTCTTATGCTGATCTTAAAATCAGAACCAGATGACGATTTGACGCTTGTTCCCGGTGATTTCGAATTTCTACATCCAAATAATTCTTCAAGACCATTTCTAAACATACTGGACGTCAAAACGTAGAGAAAGAAGTTGATGGCATAATTCAACTGTTCGAGAATCTGAGACACTTCTTTAAAAACCAGAAAGCCCAGGGCATTTGAACCAAATGCATTCAACCTAAGGAAAAAGGCGCTCATGTGTAGAGCTGTTACAGGCGAGATTAAAAGAATGTAGGCAACCATCACCCCAACCAACATGACAGTGGTTCTGTTGGTGTCTTGAGAGGCAGTCTTCCTTCTGACTGATTTCCCCATCATTGACTTCCGCTTTCGACCTTGACGTGAGAGCTTAATTGAAATAAGCGGAGTCATTGTGACAAGAAAGCACATAGGAATGAGGGAATAAATGGATAAACCACCTAACAAAAATGTACCAAACCGACTGACTTCATACGGATCAGATTTGTCATAAACGTCAGGGTGACAAATGTTGTTTTTGGTAATCTGAGAAGCATAGCTCCAAATGGAAGTGTACGTTAATATGAAGACATAAACTAGAACTATCAGAGCAACAGCTACACGCTTCGTGCAAATTATCTTAGCTTTAAGGGGGAACCAAACAGCTACGAACCTCTCCCAGCATATAAAGACGAGAAACCACGATGAAGACATTTTTGCTGTCTTGAAAATAACGAAAAATGCTTTGCAGCCAATGCTTGACAACGCTCTAAGATCAGTGCCGAGGTACATCAGGACAAAGTTCTTATTAAGTGGCTGTGTCAGGAGGAGCACGGAGTCAGACAGAGCCAGGGCGATCAGGAAGAGTCGCGAGGTCAGGTGGCTGTATCTCTTTGTCTGCATTATGATGACGGTCAGCGTGTTTCCGGTCAAACCCAAAACAAGTAACAAAGGCAGCAGGACGTAATTGGTGTAAGACAGGATCTCCATCGCCTTCTTCAGTGTTTGTGTAGCCGCTACGTCAGTAGAATTATCACAGAGAACGCTGCAATTCTCAGTCAAATCCATCTCTGTTGTGTTATTAAGTGATAGCGCCATTTCTGGAAATAAAATAAGGTTTGAAATTACAGAGTAAAATCATTTTATTCTTTCTTGATAAAAGCTTTTAGCTAACAAATTAACAAAATAAATATGACCATTTATTTTTGTACTTTCTCTCAGATTTTAAAAAAATCTTTAAAAATTGATTAAAGAAATGATGATGTAGAGGTGACAAATGCTTTCATATTACAATGTACGTACTAGAATTCCTAAACACGATTTTTTCACTTATCAGGCGTGCAGTTATTCTTGGATGCAGTTCATCAAATTGTTTTATATGCACATGTAGTACTTCTTCGACACAAAAATGTTTGTACCCAATTGCAAAATACATGTATATAGTTTTGCAATGAATTCATAGAAAAGAAAATTACATTCATTTCATTATGTTAAATTGAAATAGAAACTTTGATACAGGCTTCATTACCAAAAAATGTAAATTATTTCATACTTACACAAATTAACTTTATTTGATCTTTATATGTATTCAAAAAGCAGTACGTATTTTTCATATGCGTAAGGAAATTTTGAGACAGCATGTGTATCAAGAAAAAGTAATTGGGGATAATGTGTGATTAATTTGATTTATAAAATCATTAGACTTCATTAAATGATGCTTGTTCTGCGTTGCTTCCTTTCTATTAAAGAAATTTGCTAGATGACTTTCGACAAACTACACGGACGTAAAGATATCAACTGAAGGATATCATTAAGAATGAAAATATCAGAATGTTGGCTCAAACCAATCCTTTACTCTGAATCTTATTTAATCGAGTATTTATTTTGCTGTTTTATTTGTTAAATTGCTTGATCAGCTGAATAATTAAAAAAAGAAGACTTTAATGGAATAGCAACTCGGAGAACATTTAGTCTGAATAATTGACATTTATTGACTGGGTTCAAAAGCAACCATATTTTCTGTTTCATGGTAAGGTAAATGGAATTTTACCTATCTTTTCGTTCTTTTCGTTTTTTGTCATAAGATTTCATATTGTACACATGAGCTGTGTACATGAAATTAAGATAAAAAAGTGTTGCTTCATTTAATCTAATTTGATCATATTGTAACTATTTAAAGTCCTGTCAATTGATTTACATTGTCACTAAATTTCGATTTGATTACAATATTTCTTGTTATCTTCACTTTTTTTTCATTTTGAAGGAACGAATAACCATAAACTTTCTTCATACAAAGGTAGGCAAATTAAGCCTACATGATTGACCCGAATTTCAAATTTGACGATTTCGGCGATGCAAAATCACAAGAAAAAACTTCATAGCCGTCCAACATCTTCTTGTTCAAATACGAATACTGTAAAATAACATATTTTGGAGGGGTCAAATTTTCGTGTATTGAGGAAAATATATTGGTTCATGGGGATTTAATTTCGTGGTTGATGAATTGTTCAGTAGTAATATATGTGAAAAAAATGCATTTTGTGGTGAACATAAATTCATGTATCTCTTATATCTTGAAAAGCACGAAAAGTAAAACCCCTGCGAAAATCAGCGATTTCACCATAACTGGGATAACATTTATTTTAATTGATTAACTAATTTTCATTTTACATTAACATTATATTCAATAAAAGACACTCCTGTCTAGATCAATTACCAAGGAAGTTTCACACATTTTTTGCATTAAGCAACTGGATTTTTTTTTTCAGAAATTCTTTGATTTGCTTGTTTGTTATCCACGCCCCTTTAGAAAATATTTCACTCCTACGAAGACTCAACCATTTCCGTTCAAGGGTTCCAAATGTAGAGCTGTACTCGGGACATACGGAATTTGAGCAATTTTTTTGCCAGCACCTCCTGCGACACGGGACCTCGGTTTAAACTATCTCATCCGATTGACCTCCAAGTCCTACAGTGGGATTCCAACCCGCGAGGGATTCCAACCCGCGAGGTAAGAATTTACTTCTCACACTCTGGGACACTACAGCATTGGCTTTGACCACTGCGCCATCTGGACGAATTCAATAATTTACCCCATTTCAATTTTTTTTCATGCTCACAAAAAATTGATAATAAATTCCTGATCTAAATTATGAATAAAATCTATACATGTATATATATATGTATAAAAGAACCGCAAATACACACATTAACCTGACAGTCTAATTTCTTTGAATCAGAACTGTCAAAGATAAACCAGTATATTCGCCAGTACGTATCATCTCAAACTTAAATATAAAGTCCTATGAACAGGTAGGTAGGTACTGGCACGGAAATGATCACGGCTCAAAGGTTGTAAGTGCTAAGTACGTATCTAAATTCACGGCATTTCATACACTGAATGCGCCTCAAAATTAATAAAGGGATCAAGATAATATAATGAAATCACCAGGAATTAACAATTTGCAATAAAGAAAAACATTGCTTTCAAATGTTTCTAATGAGAGACATCAAAAACATCAAGCTTTAAAAGGATGTTGGCAAACGAAGAATGATGGATCTGGTTTTTGACTTTTAAGAAATTCATACCTTGTATTCTCTTTAGTATTCTATTTATGTTATAGAAACATAAATAATTCTGAGACATATTTAAAGACTTGATGTTTCATCTATATGAGCTTTATGTAATTCTTTTTTTTTTTTAAATTATTTGCATATTACTTGCATATATGTATAGTATGTATGAAAAATATAATTGACGATCATTATGTACATGATCTGCCGTTTTAGTCATTAACTATTTACATCTAATGAATATTATCTGTATTTCTGATGCAAACCACGGTCTTTTTTCAATCAGTAAGCGCATCTCTATATATTACCTGAAAATAAACTCTTCCATCAATAAAATTTACAAAACAGACTTATCAATGATACAGTATTAATTAAGTAAACATACTAATTTTACTTCCCTTGCACTCCTACCCAAATAAAGTGCTTAGAAGATAATAGAAAATATCACCTCAGGAACTTATTGTTTGTTCCATGTTAACGTATTGTTTGAGGTTATCATGAGATCGATCCCTGTTTGTAATCTTTTCCGTTCTTTAAAGCAATATAAGCTCTATCTTATAGACTTTTATTTTGCTGGTAAAATGTGCTATTATGATAAATTTGAATTTAATTTAAACCCTTATGATAAGCCCAAAATAAAGTTTAAAAATGTTTCAGAAGAAATAATTCTGTACAATTGAACATACTGATTTATATAAGAAATTATTATTGTACAGGACGACAATAATTCAATTTTGCTTCAATCAAAGCTAATAAAAAAATTTCCATCGCCAATATGAACAACAGAAATTTATAAATGATTCATTTTTCTGTCATTAAATTAGTTAATCACAAATTTGCAATAAAAATTTCCGATGTCAAACATGCAGCTCCTATTGCTTTAAAGCAAAATAAATATAGAGTACGGTAATTAAAATACATTTATAGTTAACCCGCCTTCAGAGAATTACGCCTGCCATCTGCAATGTTGCTTGTGGATCCGTACCATTTAGATCAGTTGCGCATTTCCAAAACTTAATTATTTTATGTCGCTGTCGGTGTAAACATTCGAGCGTTCTTAAATATGTTTACTAATCACGAAACGAGACACTTAAATCGAATAATCAGCCAAAAAATAATTTACAGTCTTATTTTTTACGTATCTAAGGTTTGACACAATGAAATGCAAACAAATTCTGATGAATACTTCGACCTTCACAAAGTAGGAATTATTATTATTATTATTAAATCATATGTAGATTCTTTTTTTCAAACTCACTCCTACGTAAAAGACTTTTTATATGTGTCATGATAATATCAGATAAGATAAACCCAGATCATTTTATTACTCCTAATTTTCGATGATACTGTCCCAGGATCATGAAATAACTTAAGCTTAATTCAAAATCTTTACTTATTGTACTTAAATTTTTTAGAAGGTAAGAAGACAAAATTAAAAAAATTTCAATAATGTTTAGCAAAAGTGTTTCAATAATTAATAAACAATTAACATGCAATGAAAAATTTGTCTTAGGTCAAAGTCTGCTTCATGATCCTAGGGCACGATCAGTTAGGTTAGGAATGTTTTCTGGCATTATTTAATTGCAATTCCTACAATCTTTAAGCGAAAATGTTAAATATTGTGACTTTCGTAATCTATCACCTATCCTTTTACTTTGATTTACTCATTCATTTGTAAAAAAAAAAATATAAGAATATTTCAAAAGAAATGCAGCATTAAACTTTAAAGAGGACACTGATAAGGTTTCTTCAATTCTTCAAAGGATGATAAATAATAAAGTTAATGCCAGTGTCTCATGAATTATGGAGAGGGATTTTTCTTTGTTAGGACTCTCTCCATAATTGATTACCAATATCGCCTTTTGATCTTGTGAAATAAAAAAAATCAAAACTGAGCTATATTGAGGATTTTTTTTTTAAATTATAAACGGATATTTCTTACCTCTACTTTCCTTGCCGTTATTTTACGGTAGTGGCCTTTTAAAACTGGTGCATGCAACCTAAGGTATTTTCAGAGTTGTATCAGTCTGGTGGAATTTAGAAATAATCTTCTTATGACTAAATAAAATGTCTTAATAAGCCATCAGAGGTAATGAAGCTGGTGCTGTGGGCTCGCTTTCAGACAGGAAATCCAATTACTGCGGTACCCTGATTCCAGTTGAGAGATTCATCTCAGATCGAACAGGTGGGCTGCTTTTATAGGGATCGAGTATTCAATCCTGTTATTAAACCAATGAACGTCTCTTTTATAACGAACATTTTATAATCCATTAATAATATTATTAATCAATCAGTTATCAACTAATGAACTAATATTAAGTCAAAATAGTGTTTCCTGTGACCATTTAGTAATGATGAATATGAATCTCAGTTAACAGGATAATCTTTGAAATAATGTTAGTATGCTTCTCTTGACTAGAGGTTTGGTGTTTTTGTCTTGTTGCATATCGTAATTGTTCACTTATCAGACGTGTATTTATTTTACATAAATAAGGACACCAATCCCATATATACATGCATTACAG